GAGCCAGGGGTTAGGTTGTTTCTGATTGCACAAGTTATTTGCCATTTTGCGGAGGTTACCCCGCGTAATATTTCCGCACGACATGACGGCAAATTCGAGCGAATGACGAAAGCCCAAATGCAACGTAACTAGTTCAGAGTACTCGGTTAATAAACTTAATTCAACAACGTTCCGGTGTCGCGCTGATTAAAAGCAGGACAGAATAGTGACCGTCGTTTAATTCATTTTACGTTTTAGTATTTAATTTTCAAACTCCATTCCCGTTTAGGTGCGTCTCATCGATTTTCGGTTTTCCTCGACTACCGTTTTTTAATTTAGCAACTGATAATTCTCGGTCGAATCGATCTTGGTTAAACAGAAAGATATTTCCAACTTTTGTCACGTACAGATAACAGAAAGTTGAATAGAGTCTGTACTCGCGGGACTTCTTGAAGATAATGCACACACAACCGTAATAGTTGTCGGGGTATAATCTGGGTTTCCAGCCGGCCAGCTCCCCATTCGTCTCGCGTCGCTAATGAAATATAGTTAACCCTTGTTATAAGCTTATAGCGTTCGCGATCCTCCAATGTACGTATACAAGCTCGGTGTTATATAAATCCGCTCCGTACAAATTTAATACCGACCAGGATCAGAGGGATGCGTGGGCGGTGGCATTCTCCTCTTCGCGTGCCAACACGAGCTGACAAAACATTAAAAGCGAACACCGCTCCGCCGTCTCCATACACATTTCCCAGCACCGTTTTAGAGACACATCAAAGCGCGAGTCCCAATTATGAATTTTGAATGAACTTTCGAGGGGCGGCTCTTGCCACGACGCTGAGAGGAAAAGAAAGAAATTAAAAGGCTCAGCGGTGGACTCTGAAAGGAATAACCCGGAAGAGGCCTAAAGCGACCAACACGAAGGGTTTCTATAGAGCTACCTAATGGAACATCTTTGAAAACTAGCCCAGAGAACCGACCAAGTGCGCGGTACTTCCCGGTAACAATTAATGAATTCGTCTTGCCGAAAAGATCCCCGTGGTCCCTGCCACTAGTCCGACGACAAACATGTTTTTCTTGGAGGTTCTTTGAAAAGCCGGATGTACCTACCTACGGGTGACGATTCATGAACTCCCCCGGGGAATCCTTCAGACAGAACGCCGACCATCTTCCACCCTTTCATCCTCGACAAACATTTTTTCATTAACCTCTAACAAGATTGATATCCTCGGTATTCTTCACGGTGAACGATTTATTCGATCCTTCGTATCATTTTTTACAGAAATGCGGTTGGATTTGCACGCGTAGGTAGACCGGCGTGAACTTTTTATTCGCCGCTTGGGGATCGCGACCGGACGAAAACGATATTTCATAGTCACTTTGCATATGCATTACCCTGGCGATGAATCCCGTCCGGCCGACTGGCAGATTGAGTTTATAGAGGCGGGCGCCGCGAAACAGATAGCTACGCGTAGAGCTACGCTCCTCCGCGGAGGAGCCGGAAATCGATGGACCGCCGGGTACGCCGGGACGGCCGCGGGGCAAGACGGGGGCATAAACGGAAACGGGTTGCCGCGTGTAAATCAGCCTTTATCCTAAATTCTTGCCGACGAAATCCTCCCTGGAGTCGCGCTCCCGGCGACGACTGGATAAAGTATGTCGTCAGCAGGAAAGTCTTCGGCTGACGGGAACAAAATACAGGCTGTTGAAAAGTTCCTGGCACGCCTTTCGTCGACGCTTTGACACTTTATCGACGTCAACCACCCCGCGCCTCCCGCTCTCCAGAGTCGCGACCGCCCGTGTGCAAAACCAGTCAGTCGCACATCGATATGAAACGGTACGTCTTTCCAGGTGACATTTAAAATAGAGATTGCGTTCGACAAACTTCTTCGGAAAAAGTAGACTTCTTTTTATCATGTATACCCAAATTTGGAACGAACTAAGCTAACTGCAGTTTTGCAACTCCACTACTTGCCTCGCCAACTGACTTTTGTTAGACGACCGAACAATGTCTAGAAGATTCGCTTTATAACTCAAATATCTGTGTTCTTCTCTTTGTATAATTTAAAGCAAAACAGTTTCAAAATTTAAATTCTATGTAGTTCAGCACACAATACCTATCTATCATAAATGTTCGCATAAAATATAAAATGCAACTATATGTATGTGCTTTTCTCATCTCCGATTCGACAGACACGCAGTATTTTATCACGTTTATGGGAACCAGGGTGGATCACCGGCAATACCGATCCTACAATCCGTTCATCCGTTCGACGCGACGACACGCGCCGCATCTCGCCGCGCCGGTGCCAAAGACCTCGTCTCTGCTTCGCGAGCGTAAACAAATGGTGAAAATCCTCTAGCGCTAATTCTATCATCGATCCGAATCGAGTTTCCGAATCCGTCGACAATCAGCGAGCAATTAATACAAAACGAAGTTTACATTCATCCCACGCCTTCGTCTAATCGATTTGCGACCGAGGTACGTAGGAGTTAAAGGAGTCTTCCGGATTTCGGGTAACATTAACAACGACTAGGAACGCGAGGTGGAGTGATAGAACAGCGGCCGGGTGCATTTAAATATTTACTCAGCCGAGAATCCTATTGAATTCGCGTCGCGACGAATCAGGCGGAGCCATCGTTGCCACCCTCTACCCAGAGATTCAAGCGTATAAAAGGGTGGAAAAAATGGCCGCCACGCCATTTGAATGGCTGCTTTTTCAGCAGGGATGAATTTATATGTTCTCATCCGTTTAGTTATACGCGATTTACCGAAATATCCAGACGAGGAACTGTTACGCCAGCTAGGAACGAAAGACGGTGGAGAGGAACGGCTGATGAAGGCACAGAAATATGCAAACACGCGCAACGTCACCCTCGAGCATCGGCTGTGTGAATTACAGCTCCGACACATATTATTATTCCTCGGTTCCGGAGGGCAAAAACTCGTCCCGACGCGTACAAAGCCGGCGCGCTCGTCCGCTAAAAAGGGCCAACGAAAAAATATTACGCGCCGACGATGCGACATCGTCGCCGAGCGACTGCGCGCGATAATCGCGATTCGACGAGGGATTTCTCTTTACTCCTTTTTCCGTCTACGCGCCCGCCGCGGTTGTTCTGTTAATTGCACGCGATGTTACGTTTCCGGGAAATGCGACGAGGAACCAACTACATGTATTTTGGTTCGATACAGAGAGATGTGAAACGATATTATTCTGAGGATTAAGAGCGGTTGACGGGTGACAGACAGTCATAGCTATTAATTTCGTGGATGATAATTGATCGATGTGCTAGCTATATTTGAATATCAATTGATCGAATTCGGTCTGCGAACCACCGGGGAGGAGTTATTAAAGAGTGTCGGCCTTATGGGACTTCGTGTCGCACGAAAAACTCTGCAATTTTTTACATCCACTGGAATATATTGCCATCGAAGTAAGGAATAGAAAGCAAAACACTCGTCGGTGTTGAACAGTTGCCATATACGAGAGAAAGGTTCTATGCAATTTCCTTCTAACTCTATCGAAAAATCACTGACTGTGTTTTCAGCCCCACTGGGCCCCATTCGCTGTCCCAACGATTACACGGGCACTTCCATTCTTTAGTAGCATTTCCTCGATGTGCTAACTTAAGCAACATGCATAATTGACAATCCAACTTGGTTATTCAAGATATAAAAGATAATTTTAAATACAGTACATGAGAAATTCATTTGTATAGAATATTATGTGAGAGAGTATATGAATAATGCAATATAATATTTTTGTCGCTGGTGTCTGTTAGACAATTTTAGACACAGTTACATGTAAAATTCATTTGTGTCGAATACTATATGAGAGAGTAGAAGAATAATACAATATAATATTCTTATCGTTAAAATATGCTAGATCATTTGAATATCGGGCGAGAAGCTCCAATTAAAATTCGGCAGTTCGATGGCACGGCAGTAGTTAAAAATAATTAGGTACACAGAGAATCGGGGGATCGCGATCTGCGCAGAATAGAATTGATACCGAGGTCTGGAAATCGCGCGACACGCTGCCCTTTCATTCGAGTATAGCCCGTATAACGCGCCAAACAGGGTCCAGTTTATTTTAAAACACGGAATTCGATATAGGACACGGTGTGTGTGCATGCAACTAGCTCGACGCGATAACGCCGCACCGCTTCCGCTTCGAACTACGTGAATTCAACCGTGTGATGCTCGTTTATTCCAGAAGAACTGCCAGACACCAGTTACCGCCGTCATTAACGGAACCGCGCGGTTACGCGGGTACTCGCTTGTAACCATCCCAATTCCTTACCCATTTCGGATAATTAAACTTTCTTAACGAAATTTAATAATCAAGTACAGAATCGAACTGACTGAATAAATTGCGAGACTGTTAAGAGAATAATGCAGGTTCCTCCGGTATTTTCTTTCTACAAAGTACCGACACTGAGTAAATGACGGAACAACTGATTAATACTAAAAGACTTTGAAACACGGAAACTGAAGTAGTACAGTGAGAATGCTTTGATTCAACATCTAATTATCGTTTGAAGTGTCTGCTGAATCTTTTGGTCGATCTCCAAGTAGTCGCCTGGGGCGTAACTCAGTTCGAGTATAACTCGTATAGGAAGTGGACACAGTGACTCCAAGAAACGGTGCGACACGAAACGGAGTCACAGGGAATTCCCAAGCAGGGATCAAAAAGCAGGGAAACTCGCGGCAGCGAACAGGCGCAAAGAATACGGAAGATAAGAGGGAGAACAAACAACCCGTGTACAAAGCAAAGAATCGAACAGATAGAATTGTTTAACTAAACACTCGCCGCCTGTAAATGTATCTCTCCAAACAAGATACAAGCCCGGACTCAGGCCCTTCTGTTACTTGTGTCTCCCAACGCGATAGAATCCGCATTCGCGTCGAAGTTTCGCTAAATCGATACGAAGGTTGCCGCGTGAACGCATAATGTCCATCGTGAATGATAGGACAGACTCGATAGAGATCGAATTCGGAGATGGAAATTGCTTACCTTCGTATACCCAGTCCGGCACTCCATTATAGATTGTCCCGAAGACTCCGGTGTCCGTGATTTGATAATCGTCGGCAACTTCCGCCTTCGGCCTGTAGTAGATGTTATTCTGATAAACGTAGACCAGAGCGTTGCCCTTCGGAGCCCAAGTTGCCAGTTGCAGGGAAATGGACTCATTCGCCATCAACGAAGTCTCTGACCTGAAAGAAGAGTAAACACTTTATTAACAGGATAAGTTTATAATTTTTCTTTTCTGATCATTTTTGTCAACGCTAATTACTTCAGTTATGTTATAAGTACAAATTTCGTTCTGTGTAAAAGAGACTTCGATACCGAAAATTCCATTATTCCCTGATAATCGTAGATCGTATGTCGGATAGGCTGATTATAATACAATAGTTTGAAGTGCATCCTAATCACGAATTAAATTTACAGTCTAATAATAGGCTTAGTTTAGGTATAGAATAGGCCGCGGGGGGATTAGGACCGAATCAAATCTGGAATAGATCCGGATAGGTCTTCATCCAAATTTACGCTCGGCTTTAAATTCGCTTCGCGCGTTAGATGTACAATTCAAGCTGAACTGTAGTTAACGTCCAAGTTACCTCTGGCCTAATCTGCTGCATCGCCGAACATCGACGAGCCGGATATTGTTAACATTTCCGGAAGCCATGATATTAATCGACAATTCCCGATTAAGAATCACCATAAAAATAATAATAAGAGAATAATAATAAGCTAAAAATAAAAAAAACGAGGGAGTGTCTGAAAAAATTCGTTTTTACTCGACAATAAGAAATATTTCCTCGACAATAAGAAATATTCACTCGTGTTTACTCGACAATAAAAAATATTTCCTGAAGCGCAAATACATTTGATACTATCGAATCCAGTAATAATTTCCAATCAAACGTTGATTCGGTATCGACTCGATTACTATGCAAAATAGTCTTGCATGATGCGACCTTATTCCGGAAGCAGTAAAAAGCAGCTCGGACGTAAACCAAAGCACCATATCCCCATGGATATTGCCGCGTTACAGGAAATGATCCTCATAGAATACCAAGGACGATCGACTAGAATTTCATGTTCCCTCTCGTTCACTCTGTAGACTGCCTCATCTTTTCGATCTCTCGATCCAAGAGCACTTGATTAATATTTATCTGTGCAGATCGTTCCAATCGCTGGCGACTGGTTTAGCTTTTGTTCCAGCAATTCGGATCGTTCGTCTAATTGAATGGGAGGAGTCGCCGATTGCGGAAGGATACATTTCTGAGGGGATGTAGATGGACCTCCTACTTGGTAAACTCTTCTCCGCTCCTCTCTCTTTTTTTTATAGGGGAACCGTGTTTTACGAGAACGCCGTTCGGTGAATCCTCTCGAGGTTTCACCGGCCAAGAGATTCGCCCGCTTTACGTATACCTAAGTTACTAGAATATTCGATACTGAATACCGGCTTCTGGTGCCAGGATTATCGGGACTTGATTAAATCGCTGCGTCGTATTGTCTGCCGAGTGGATTGTTAAACATCATGAAATAAATCTTCAATTATGAACGATAAAATATTGGCATAATAGTGGGGTTTGTGGAGTCAGAATAATTAATCGACTCGTAGCAATCGGTGCGACATTCAGCAGCAAATGGCAATCAATGGTTCACTACCGAAATCCGCAACGATCCTACTACAGCGACAGAAAGTTGGCATAACGTGGATAAAAGAGGGCTTCCACTTTCCTAGTACGTATTCTACGAAATTTGTTCAAATGGCGACATAACTTTCGCGAGAATCGTCTTATCTGACCAATCAAATTGATGGAAAGACTTTTACGTACAGTCGGAGGTATCGTCGGAATTCGTTAATGGCTTTCAAAGGTGAGTATATTTAGGAGTTAACGCGATCGGCCGCGTGTGTGCGCACAGTTGGCACGGTTGAAAGGCTAAGTAATAAAGAAGCTTGAGGGGCAGCGTTACATTATTTCCCTTTTAGAATTGAATCCGCATGCCAAGTAGATATACGTGAGCTGTTGTTAAACTCTTGTGGAAATTAAATGGCGGCTTAAAGAATTTACGGGGCCGCGGTGAGAACTCGAGGAACCACCCTCGCCTTTTTTATTTTTGTTTTCCCTCGCCGTGCCGGAAAAAACTTCCGTCGAATACTTTAGCGAAATTAAACGGGCGCCGATAACCGTAGATATTTTCGAAACTGGCCTCGTTGTTCCTTTCCACGTATCTTCCGTAAAAGAGTTAATCCATAGAAGAAACAAGACCCGAGCAATATTGTTTAATTTATACTGGGATTTCCGCTCGAGGATCAGAGGCTATGCTTTACTATTGTTCTATTCGAAAAAAAACCTGTGAACCTCGCGACAGTAAATCACTCTAAGTGCTTGTTCTTTCTGGAATACCTGATAAACGCATCGATATTTCCAGCTAATCCCCGTACGGATGATAAGTTGCTCCCATTAAACTACAGGCACGGCAACAAGAAAAAGAACTTCTCTAATACTCCACGTTCGTTCCACTGCCACCAAAAAATCAGATGAAAGTAATTAATCAAGTTCGTTGAAATACAATAATATAAATCAGAACAGCCTGATAGAAATGATACTGAACCGACCGCATTTTCTGCTAATACATGTAAAACATCGTATCAGTGGATTAATAATTTTTGAAAACCAGAAGAAGAGAAGCGGAAGCGAGTTATGATAAAAAGAGAAATCTCCAAGCGAGTAGCGGGCCGCAGCTACCGTGGATTTTATAGAATTTATAAAATACACCCTTGGCGAACGGTGCCCGATGGGATAAAGAGGGAGAAAGGGAAATCGATGGAAAGTTTCGCGAGTCTCGGCGGCTGTCGCGATGCCAGAGAGCCTCGGTTCAAAGGGGAACTTCTTCCACGGTGAAACGAGAGAAAGAGAAGTGGGTGGTGGTCGGTCATAAATAAAGGCGCTGGTATTCATGTAGCGTAGAAACCGAGTTTATGGCCGGGACTCTCGTCCTGCTACAAAGTGCGCGCGCGTTCGATCCTTTCGAATCCGGGGACTTTAAAAACCGGGCCACTGCTCGTTGCCCTTAATTGATATCGCGGACGCGACAACGATGGCGAATTAGCAGCGAATCCGGCTCCCATGGATATACACGTGTTTCCTTTTGTATCTATTCACTTTACACGCAACTATAATTTTTACTCAGCCGCGCATGGACTACGTCCCCTGAAATATGCAAAGTCTTTTGTGACGCCGTAGGAGGTTCGCATGCTACCAAAACATTTCAATAATGCATCCAGTGTTTGCAAACTTTGTGTTTGAAGCTTAAGAAATTTGCTCACAGATACCGAGGACAGGAAATATTAAATACCATCAGAATCTATTAAGGGCAAGCTTCAATTTTAAGTAGTACATGCGAGATTTGTTCGTTCTAGTTAACATCGCGATACGCTCAACGAATCTGCTCGGGACGAAACGAAAATTCGTTGCGGGTTCCCGTAGCTACGCGCGGAATAAAAATTGATCGAATTGACATACGTGCGTGCAGCCCGCGTATCGCTCGTAATCAAATTCGTTCAAATGACTTGATTCGGCCGCAGAATGGCTTGATTGGACAAACAAGGGAAGGAAAACGGGAACGAGTCAAAGGCTGACGGAAACCGGCTGGAATTCTTCTCTTCCCAGAAACGATTTCAATGGAATTTTTCAATTGTATCCAGAGAAGAAAAAAGCATGCAAGCCGTAACACTGATGAACGACACTGTGCGTGCTATAAATTCATCGAAATCCAACTAACAAACGATTGCGTGGGCTACCGTTCGACTCGTTAATTGCGAACCAGGAATAATCGATCACAGATCGAATTGAACGCATCCGCAGACCAGATTTTATTGATTCGATACAACGTCATATAACATTCTGTATTTTCCGCGATTCGTTAAAACCATACCGCGGTCGTTATTGTTACGCAAACTATTATTTTCAACATACATTGTAACCGTTACGGTGAAACAACTTCTGTTCACAGCGTGCGACAAAAACCCGCGTAACTGTTTCGTGGTTCATTATTATACGACGGAATCATTCACAGCCAGCGAATAGGATATTACATTCCGACTAGATATTACATAATGTATCCAATAATTTAGGTATGTAACTTCTAAGAGACGCTAGCTTGCGGTGAGGCGGCAAAGTGCGTCATCCGCGCAGGGTGGACATCTTAATTGAATGGTTATATTGGGTCTGCGGTTTGTTTTGCGGTTCTATGGCGATGGAAACTTGCTGAACTTACACTGTTAGTGGAAATGGTAATGCTCTAGTTTACTATTCGATTGTCGTCAAACGCAGCTACCACGTAATCAATAATAATGCTTTACGACGAATGCAAATGTCGCGATGAATACCGTTCAATCTTCGAGCCCTTCTTCCCGAGCGTTCCCTAATTCCCATCAGACGTCACCGGCTGATATCAGGGGGTTAGACAAGGAGGAAAGGTGATCGGCAAATTGAAATCTGGAATTCATATCTGAGGCGACGGCGGCGAATTGCATTCACGATGGCACGTGGAAAATTCACCGGTAGCTTTTAGCAGCCCTTGGAGGGCCGACCCGAGAGAAAAATGTCACCCGCAGGGAAGAGAACACGTCGCGTTCGTTCGTAGTTCTGGTCACGTCACAGGAGTCATTCATGCGCGCAACGCTCACCCCCTCGCGTTCCCCACCGCCACCCGCTTTTTGTTCTTAACTTATCGGCTCTCATTCTATCCGATTTTCCGCGGCCTTTTCCACGTTTTCCCTGACACCGTGGCAATCCTCTGTGTCGCGACCCTCCTTTCCCGGCGATTATCATATTTATGAGACCTGTTTCCGTCGGGAAATCGCGCCACGCTCGAAGATTGTATTTGCACGCCGTTTATCCGATACCTACTATTACCCAGCCGGCGTTACGTTAGCTTCGATTGATCGCCAACGATCGTTGACATTGATCAACGATGCATCGACGTTACTTCGTCAGTAGCGAACTCAGTTGAAATTCATAGATTATATTTATTCACACGGACATGAAACAGATACGATTCAAATTTTCTCTGTGATTCCAATATGAGCTGTCGCATCGTAACGATGGCCACGGGCAGTGCTCAAAAGTTTCGGGTTGTTAGCCCAACTTGCATTTTGGATTCCGAGTTACATGATTCTATAGTGTTGCTCTTCAGACTAGTTCGTAATCTAAATATTAACAACCACTTCAAAGTCCCGCGTTTTCCCATATGCTTCACGAGTCGACGACGTGTGAATTTTGAATGCGAAGGAGAACATGATATCGCAACATTTACGATGATTTGTTAAAAGTACAGCTCGCAGCTTTTTACAGGACGAAGTTAATAGTCGTGGCACGTTTTTGATCAGGCAAGGGACAAAGCCCATCTCTGGACCAGCAATTACGACTCGATAATTTCGAAACTCCGACATTCTTCCTTCCCTTTAATTCTTGGCCACTTTCGCGTCGACAATTTCCCCGCGACAATTGGAGCAGCCGATGTCAAAGAAACGGAGACCAGCCACCGCGTCTCTTTGTTCCACAGCCCTAATTGCGATCATTTGTAAGGCTACGGTTACCGGTGTATGATGTCCATCCTTGTTCCCTCTTTTCTCCGGTCGAGTAAAAATTGTCTTAGTCCCTCGCAACGGCGTTCACAGTTTAAAAGCATTAAGAGACACGAAACTCGAGACGAACTTTCGCCCGTGCTATACATTTATTCTTGATATTTAACGTGGGGATGGTGAAAGAGTTTGTAGAAGCAACGCAAATTTAGCGCGACTTTTTATGGATTTTAGAAGTTCCAACTTGGACTAATCCCTTGCGCTAAAAGCTCCTCGAAAAGTCTAAGAAACAGCTATAACCCTGGGCCGCGCCTCAAACAACAGTAGCTAACGGTAGTTAGGGAACTATAATGCTAGCTGCATACGCGATTCTAATCCCAGTTATAGCAACGGGTATAGGCGCATCGATAACCGTAACCAGTCGGTTAATACCGCTCGCGTGTATTCAAGGTAAGACTGCATAAGAATAATTGTGGTCTTCTACTTCCGGATTCAACGTGCTACCGTATTTATACGCAGAGTTTATCCGTGGGTCAAAGTTATTCGAGTTGCAGTCGACTCACGCGTGCTGCTCGCGTTTCACCGAGCAAAAGTCATTAAAGAATAACCGGACGTGGATCGTGCGTAAAACGGTCCTGATGTTTCCCCTAACACCGGGATGGACGGATTTCCGGGTCGAAAGGTGAGCCTGAGGGGCGAAATAACTCTCGGGTTTCGAAAGGACCAAACTTCAGAACGTGCTGGCGGGAACGGCCAAAAAGTTCTGCACATTTTTAGGACCGTTTTCAAACTACGCTCGGATACGCTAAAAAAAAACTGCCCCCTCTAAAAATATTGATTGTTACGTTTCCGCAGGAACTTTCGTGCGGGACTTTATGGGAAGACTTTCACAGATTTTTAGGTTTAACGACGGCAATGACCTGACGCCAAATAAAACTATTCACGATCATTCAGCGAACACGTCAAGGTTTTAATTATACTATTATATTATATTGAACGAGTGGGGTTAAAGACTATTTTACGGGATTATTTACCGTGGCGCATACGTTATATTACATCAGTTTAATGATACTCCGAACCGTATCCGAACTCCCAACAATTCCCGCAACGTGCTTAACCCAGAAACACAATCCCGCAGAATACAACTTCCGTGCCATTTCCTCCGCAAACCCCGAATTGAGAACCTCTTTATAACCGGCAGCGAGGAGGGCGCAGAACAGACGAAATTCGTGGCGGACGAACGAGCGCGATTAAGCCGGTGGCAAAGAGGGTGGAAACGAATTCGAGGCGAGCAGCGTCGGCTCTAATCGTAATATAAGCACTCTTAAACGGCGAATTAACGTCCGGAGAAGATCCACGGCACGGGGCGAAGTTCCAGAGGGGTTGCTGGGAAAGGAAGCGTCGCGTTCTCGCGGTCGTAAGACGAAGGGCTAGCGCGGGCAGGAGGGCTGGTCGGTAAGGGAAATACCCGCGGCTCGTAATTTGCACGCCGGCAGGCTTTTCCAGCCGGCGCGGCGCGACGCCACGGTGAGTGCGAAGATTAAAATGCAAATCTAAAAGTGGCGCGCGGAATAAGTTTGAGATACGATTAGCCTAAATGGCCCGCGGCCGTACGGCTCGTTTACTTACAAGGTCTCCAGGTTCACGATCCTGTAGTGGGCCAGGTACGTGTGTCGATAGAGCTGCAACAGAAAGAAGAGGAACGGAAAATGTTTATTAGCCGAGTCTGCCGGGGCAAGTTGCCCGGGAAATTGGACGCCGCAGCGCTTTAAGGGTTTAAATAAACGCCGCCGGGGCTTATCGCGACGTTGTTGTTGTTGTTGCTGCTGTTGTTATTTACTCGTCTGCTCCCGTCTTTCTCTCTTCGGTTACTTTTTTCGCGTCCTTTTTCTCGTCCCGCTAGGTTTAATATTGCATACCCGGTGCAAATCCCGTTTGAGAGATCGTGCGGCTGAATTTTAGTGAGTCTCGGTTGGTTTAGATTCCGGACGAAGTGAAATTGAAGTAACAGAAAGGTTTTTAAAAGAAACGAGAGATGAGATTTAGGAGGATGCGAATCAACGTACATCTGATGTCGATATTTGTTCAATTGTGGATCGTAACGTCGATATGAATTGAATTATGTATTATATAGAGAACATTCTTACATTAAACAAAATGACAATCTGGGAACAAGGATGTTAAATTTTGAGGATAATCTAATTATCGCAAGGCGGACATGAAAGAGAACCAAGCTGTCCTCTCGAAGTGACATTATCGGATCATAAACTATTCATCGACGGAGGCCCAATACGGTACCCGAAACTGTGCTAAAATTTATCGATATGGCCGCGAGGAAATAAAACGGCTTGGCGTCGGCTAGGCACTACCTACGACCGTGTGCCTCGTAACAATGTGGAATGAAAATAAAATCACGTCGGATCGTAATTTTTATTCCAACACTAAAACTACGAGCTACGATACGTTCCGCTTCTTACTGCGTATCCCTCGCGAGGTATGAATTTTGTATCAAATCATACCAGTTCGAAAGAACCGTCTGGAGTGTCTGCGGTCTGGAAATAATAGGCGACCCGGTTGCGCGCATAATTTTTATTTCAATGCGTAAAAGAGAGTACGTTCAACCCGGTCGTAACGATCTTTTTACTACCAGAAAATCGAAAACCAGTTGTTTTCGAAACGCGAATGAAAACAAGAAAGAGCCCTTATGAATGTATGCGCAAAGTAACATAGAAATGCACAAAGAAACATATTATGAGAAAGAAATATAAAAAAGAATGATACAGATTTCTTTCATTATTTTCTGTGACTCCCTGACATACGAGCCATTTTATTTTTAATCATGGATTTAATGAAGAATGGTTCAGCAACACAACGAGTGGAATTAAAATTGCACGGAGGGAATAAAAGCGAGAGAGCAGATGCGTCGTAACGAGGTATCGAGATTGCCACCGTTCCTGGCTTATCTACGCGAACGTAAGCGGTTATGGCACTTGCGCGTTCTTCCCTTATGTTTCATAGCTCGTATGGAAACCCCTTATCGCGGTCGTTATAATTCTTCTCTGTCTCACCGGAAATTCGAATGCAGCCTTCGTATCGACTTCTCCCACGACACGATGCAATAATGGCCGACGCGGTTATTTCCTTTACAACTTTTTCGCGAAAGCTTCTCGAATCGCGTGACGTGTTCGTCTAAACGGCGAATTTTCACGTTTATGAACAGTAAAAGCAGTCAAAACCTATCCGTTCTTAAATCACAAAATTAAAATAAAATTATTACAGGTGAAACGATATTATCTCAAGCAGCAACAGCTACGGAAAAGAGCAATGAATTAAACGGGCGAAAGGAATTTCCTAAAGGAGATATCGATTGACTCTCAGTTCTTTATTTTTTTATAAAAACCGATCAAGACGAAGGGCAGTCGGATTCCGCCAATAAATAACTCGATCCGGTGTTCATAGGCTACGCGATACCATCAAACATAACATCGACAGGATCCAGCGATACGAAAGAATTCATGAGGCTCTTCGCCTTCATGATGGAACGCTCCTCTGCCTCCGTTAAACCACTGGACGGGATCTCGTGCATCATACGATCCTGATAAAGCGTAACTGTTACACAAACGCGCCGCACAATAACGGTTGATTATCGAGCACGCGAACCCATGTTCCTATCGAACAATTCCCACTTTCCCTTGTCGTGTCGCCTACCAGTCTATCAAACGGTTAACCTTCCCTAGTTTTATTCCGCTCGTTGGTGGCTGACATTTAAATCGCACCCGTGTTCAACATCGCCTCAATTTTTATACTTGAAACCGTCGTGGAGATCGCATGACGCGATAGAAACCGTAAAATGGGAATAGCTTACTTAGCTGATATAAGGCAAGTGTGAAAGTCGTAAAAAGACTGTTCATAGCGTACGATGCTTGAATAAAATTTATTTATGCGTGCACAGCTCGAAGCAATTAATTAAAAAAAGATACAGATTTCTTCGTTCGAAGAAAGGATTGGATTTTGATTCAACCTCCCGTGAAAATTGTTGCTGTAATTCATTCTATAGGAGTGGATGCACACGATTTTATATGGTGAATTGTAACTTCGTGAGATGAAGGATTCCAGCAAAGAAAGGATCAGCCTATTTCATATGTGTAAATATATGTATTTTCATCAACGCGTCTTGACGATAACGGCAATCCATATTTATTCGCAGCTGCGTGTCTTTTAATAGAAGAATACAGGCATCGGAGAAATAAAAAGTATGAACGATTAATCGCGTGGAGTTAATTAATCGGTGCTTTGGGTTCGTGAATGGCACGGTAACGATTAACCGATAGAATTTCAGGTGACGCCACCTCGAAAGAGATGCGATTCATCGGAAAATATTTTTGCGACGAATTTTTCAGCAACGAAAATTGATTTATAGGTCAAAGATAATGGCCACACGTGCAACCGACAGCAGAGATTAAAGCTTCGCGCCGCGGTATTTGGTTTCGAATTTTTCCCTAACAAATCTATACTTGCCACAACAATTTTATACATTCCTTCTTTTCCCCTCGCGAAAATTTCCTGCCCGAAACATTTTAACGACAAAATGATAACACCTCGGATTCGACGAATTTTTAAGTGACGTCGAGCTTGCGGTTCCAACGACTCAGGATTATACAGTCCTGGCAGCAACGACACACACAGGGAGACTCTTCGCGAGACTATTCGCCACTTTGCTACTTCGATCTTCTAATTAATCCCCACTACCAAAATGAGAAACTTCCATTTTATTGGACGGTCTAGCCACTCCTGCGGCTTCGACTTGCGCGATTCAATTTAGAAGTCGCGTCCTGTCTTGACAAATTGCAAATCTTGTTACCCTCGTAGTAAAACGATTCGCAAATATATAGGCATGCACGACAACGACTCGGCAACTATGCCTTGCATTTCAGATTTCGTAATTGTTCTCTGCAAATCTCATGATATATAAACATTTATCAATTAACAGAAAATTTATTCCAATATCTGTTCGCAAATTGTGCGATATTCACCGTAATAAAGAGTTGATTTGGAATTATTCGCACAGTTCTAGGGGCAACGGGGTAATTACGATTCCTGTTCGCAATTTTATCGTTTGCCGAACCGACGACGGTGCCGGGTTGCGAGTAATTTTGCACTTCCCGACCGCAGTTTTGCAATTCAACCCCGGTAATACGACCGGCTTAATTTTGACTCTCCAGTTCGTTTCCCGACTTCGAATTTCGATTTCCTACCCTGATTAAAAGGCGACGCCTTTTAATTTGAGACCGGCAATCCCGATTGTCGCCATTTTTTAATTAAACCCGACACGCGACGAGAATCTGTTATTAGCTTAATCGACCGGCAACTAATTAAATAACAGATTCACAATACCATGCTGATTTGTAGGTATATTTTGAACGCACTTATTCCATCGGTTGTTGTTGCTTTCGGTATAGAGTAACATGTAATTATGGAATTATAGAGAATACCGACGATTCATTGCTCCCGGCAAACATCAAATTTCTATCAGAGAAACATTCTGATAATTATTTATTAATATAATATTCGCGGAAATATATATTTGATATCAATTAATGACGTATGTTATCATTGGGTCATGATTCGAGAGTGAAAAGAAGAGTACAATGAAATTGTATTGTATATTAATCAATTCCAAATTATTAATTTGATACCTATCGGTAATTGGAGATTTACAATAAACACGATATAAATAAATTGAATAAAAATTCTTCTTTCCTCTTGTTACTTTCTCAACGAAAATCCGGATAAATCGTTGTAAGCAGTAAGAGTAAGAAAGGCGATTTCCTCGATTATCGTTAACGATTATTGCTTCGTTTGCCCGTCATTATCGTGGTCCATATTCGCCATTGAGACCTCGAAGACAAAAGGAAGAATGCTTCGCAAGTGTCGTACCGTGAATATGACCATACCCGAAAGCGAGAATCACCGCGTAATGGAGAAGGCGTCATTAAAAAACGCACGCTGTTCGCTCGCCTCCAATAGAAACGTCCATGGTCAACGATAAAACAGTAACATTTGATACAAGGACACTTATGCTTGGCAGCGTGGATTCTTCCTGAACGCGTCGGCCTGACGTCTCCGAAGTAAACGCGAAATTTGCGGAAATCCCAATAAGGACGAAGGGAACGTTGCGACGCGAAACGATGAGGACGAATGTGCAGCACAAAGCTGGGTGGTTCGGATGCGACCCGTAGAGCTTTACACCGTTCGTAATAATTAAATGGATTTGCTGTCGTATTTGAGCCACGTTGAAACGTGTAGAGAGATTACTAGGTAAACCGGTTATGAATTCTTCAAAAGAAACAAATGTACCAGAGAAAAACTCTGGTTCGGGCGTAGCGTGGAAACTTTTCTCGTTTCATCCGCGCATCCCTCGTGCATCCAAACGACATTTAATATTAAGATTCCATTTGAGGAAAGTCGGAACGTGCAACGAGTAAAAAGGATCCATGGCTCTTCGACAATATACAAAGACTTCGAGATGATGTACGAAGAACAATTAGCTACTTTTAATAATAACGTGCACGTTGACGCTGGCCAGTCGCGCGAAGGAGTTGAGAAGTTTCCCCGGAACGGTGACCCGTTTATTATATTTATCAGAGTTTTTCCTCGCGATCTATAAAGCGATTAAAAGTTT